CCTTTTAAATCCTTCCCCTCTCACTTAAACCCGTGCCTTCTCGTTTTGAACTCCCCAACCCTGGGGAGAAAGACCTTGGCTATTCACCCTATCCATGCCCCTAATGATTTTATAAACCTCTATAATGTCACCCCTCAGCTTCTGATGCTCCGGGAAAACAGCTCCAGTCTATTCCACCTCTCCCTTTGGTCAAACCATCCAACCCTGGCAACATCCTAGTAATTTTTTTTTAAAATCCTTCCTTGTTTCACAACATCCTTCCCATAACATGGAGACCAGAACTGCACACAGTATTGCAAAAGTAGCCTAACGAATGTCCTGTACAACTGCAACATGACCCAAACTCCATGCACTGACCAATAAAGACAAGTGTACCAACCACCTTCTTCAGTATCCTGTCTACCTGCGTCTCCACTTTCAAGTAACTATGAACACACAGAGACACTTTGGACTGCTCGGCAACACTCCCCAGGACCTTAACATTAAGTGTGTATGTCCTGCCCTGATTTGCCTTTCCAAAATGTAGCACCTTACATTTATTTAAATTAAATTCCATCTGCCATGCCTCGACCCATTGGCCCTTCTGATCAAGGTCCCATTGTACTCTGAGGTAACCTTCTTCGCTGTCTACTACACCTCCAATTTTGGTGTCAGCTGCAAACTTGCTAACCATGCCTCCTATGTTCACATCCACATCATTCATATAAATGACAAAAAGCAGTGGACGTAGCATCAATCCTTGTGGCACACTGGTAGTCACAGGCCTCCAGTCTGAAAAGCAACCCTCTACTACCATTCTCTGTCTCCTACCTTCGAACCAGTTCAGTATCCAAATGGCTTGTTCTCCCCATATACCACGTGATCGAACCTTGCTGAAATGACCTTGGCTACCACAAGGTAATTGTTGACTACAGATACTCAGCTCTGTTCCCATCTCCATGCCAAAATAAATGCTGGAGAAAAAAAGACCCTCTGCTATTTACCATGGTTTTGTAGTGAAGTTTATAGGACAGATTACTTGAAGGTGCTGGGCATAAAGCTCTGAGCGGTCAGGAAAGGCGCAAAAATATGGGAAGAGTGCATTGCCAAGGTAAGGCAGAATCTGGGCTTTTGGGACCACCACTCCCTCTCCATTGCAGGTAAAAACCTGGTCATCAGGTGTAAGGCACTCACTCTGTTGTTGTATGTGGTGGGACTCAGGCCCATTCAAAGAACCTGCAGAACATTGCAGTCACCGGAGACATCTTCTGTTACATCTGGAGGTTTAAGATGGACTGTGTCCATAGGGATACCATGTACCAAGCTCCAGATTATTTTCTTTTTTGCGGCGGGGGGAGTGGTGCAGGGGAAGGTGGGATCCTGAGGGTGGCTGCATCAAGCTCTGTGTAGACCCTTGGTACACAATCACTGTCACTCCGTACTGAGGCTGAACATGAGATCGTTGTTGCGAAGAATAGGTCCAGCCTCATTGCCATGGAACGCTCTAAGTAGTTGGACCATTCCGTATCACCTGTCCTTTGTGGAGAAATTTGCAAAGAAAAACACCTTTGACCACAAGTCCATCAGGAAATGATCAGCACTTACTGCCCTTGAGAGCCTATTGGAAAAGACAAGGGTGGATCCTGTCACATGGTTCCCTGAGCAGACTGTCAGAGTCATTTGGCAGAATGTCTCAACACCAGAACTTTCTAACAAGCACCAAGACATCACTTAGCTGATGGTGAGATCCCTCACATATATCCAGATTCTTTACGCCACAGCATGCTGCCCTCGAAATGGCTGCGGGCGGGATACACACTGTCACACATCACCTGCCCAAATGAGCCTTTATAAAGGAAGCCTGGAGGAAGATGCCGTGATTTTTTTCAAGGCTCATTCCAAGCAGGGGCGTGACACAGGACTCTAAGCCCTATGGTTTGTTTCCTGGGACTCTCAGAGTCAAACATCAACTGCCTGCAGGACCATCAACTCTGCAAAAGACACTCTTCGGTCTGCCCAAAACTTGTTGGTCTTCCACAGCAAGGAGTTGACCTTGCCGGAGTATCACAAACTGGCACATTCCGAGGTCCAAGACGAGGTGTTGAGGGGCACACTTAAGTGTTGGGCAGCTGCAACCAAGGCACAGTGGGGAAAGACAGCCATCTAAGGTCTTTCAGCCAAAGTTAAATGGGGGTCCGTTCAGTTATCAGACCCTCCCGATGCCTCAAATATATGGAAATATAACCTTGTACAAATAAGAAATGCCTTTGGCTTATTTGTTGGATGGAATCAAATGCAAAGGTTTGTTTGCTTCATGATATGCTACTGTACAGAACCGAACTGCATCAGTGACTGTATGCATATAAAGATGTTTTCATGAATAAAGTATATTTTTGAAATAAAAAAGGTACCATGAGTTTGTCGTCAAGACTGCATGAATAAAAGCAGTTTACTTTGAACCTGAAAAAGGTTACCTTGCAGCCCTCCAAAGTAGTGATTTCTGAAATTATCCCCCACTTCCAGCTCCTCACATCCAAACTATTGCTACAAAAGATGAAAAGTTAAATAGAACAGCAACAAAAAGGTAGCTCAAAAAAAACTTTGCAGTCCATGATAAACAACAAGGACTCACTTTGCAAAGAGTTGGTAAGTGCTAATATATTATTCATACTTTATGAATATCAATGGGGGAATCATGATTTTTTTTCCTTTATTCTTTCATGGAAATTGGGCATCACTAGAAGGCCATTTCAGAGGATAGTTAAGAGTCAACCACGCCACTATGGATCTAGAGAGCCATACATGAGCCAGACTAGCTAATGATAGCAGAGTTCCTTCCCTGAAAGTCATTCCGTGAATCAGATGGGTTTCTACAGTCATTGTTGATATTTCATGGTCACCAGAGACTAGCTTTCAATGCTAGATTTTTTTTTTCTTTAAGCTCTCGTGGTGGAATTTGAACTCTTCCATGCACAGCAATGGAGGCTGTGTCATTGTCAGGATGGAGCTTGGTAGTTTCTTGACCTACAAAGGAGTCAAGTGTCACATGGCAGAAGTGACAGACAGCAGTGTATTGAAGCTACAACCAGATTGACAATGATTTATTGAGTAGGGCAGCAGACTCAAAAGAGCTGAATTGCATATTGATGCTTGTATATTTTAGTCTATTTGGGAGGGTAGCATATATACAGTGATAGGGGAGGACAGCAAGGAAAGAGGGAAAAACAGGTCTCTGTGCCTCCATACCTGTTTAATACCTATTACATCTCTAACTTCTCCCACATTTGGATGAAAAAATCATTGCCCTGAACCAATATTTCTGCTTTTCAAAACAGACATTGCCTGACCTGCTGAGTCTTTCTAGCACCTTTGTATTTCAGGTTTCTAGCATAAACAATATGTAGCCTCAATTAAAATTACACCCATTTTTACCATCACATTTTTTTCTTTGATCTTTTATGAGAGCTGGACATTGTTAGCATTTGTTGCACAAGCTAACTGAACTGAGTGGTTTGCTAGATCCATTCAGAAGGCATCTTTTTAAAAATAAAATCAGTGCTTGCTGACACTTGCAACTCTGGGTTACTACATACAAGTGTCCAATTGGGACCACAGATGCATGTGATTTCAAACGCAATGTCATCACAGAATTTATGAGTGACATCATGTGCAAACATGAAGGGAAGTACGTGCAATTTTAAAATAGAGTTCAGGGCTGTGGACAGGGAACACCAGATGGAAAACTCCCAGTGAGGCATGAACAGAGCCCAGAAGCTGGGGCAACAAGGAGGGACCAGGAGTTTAAGGGAGAGGGAGTACAACAAAAACAACAGGGAGAGGTGGACTCTGAGGTCCTCTCTCTCTTCTCCACAGCTCTCTTCCCCCCAATCTCTCTTCAATTCTGTCCCAGGTCCCAACATAGTCCTAGGTCCTGATCTCCCCTTTCCACCTGTTGCCAAGTCCCGATCTCTATCTCCCCTGAAATCCGTGCACGAGATTTAAAGCTGTACATGTGCTGGTGTTAGCAAACATAGCTTTAAAAAAAAAAAAAAAATACAATCACAGCTCTGTGGATCTGGAGTCAGAAGTAGGACAAGATTTCTTTCCCTAAAGGGCGCACGTGAACTAGCTGTTTTTTTTAAAAAAGGAAGTGATGTTTATCACTGTCACCTTTACTGAGGATAGCTTAACTCCAGATTTAACTGAATTTAAATACTCAGCTAGCTACCATGCTGAGGGTTGAACTCCTTCGTCCACATTCCCAGTGCTTTGCCTGGCCTTACTTACTTTGCCATGTGACCACTATGTGTTGTTCTTTCAGATTTGAAGTGAGCACAGGACTCCAAATGAGAGAACAGACTTTAAATGCACCTTCATAAAGAGCTGATTGCCAGCTAAGGAACCAATTTTGTTCACAGAGAAAAATGCCAAGAGTTGGAAAACTAATTTCCCCACCCTGCCAACTCATTCTACCATCAAGGTCAACTTGGTTCAGTTGGTTGCACTTAACCTCAATCTGAAGATTGTGTGATTTGAGTACATAATCCTCCCTTCAGCACAGCCTTGAGGGAGCAGTGTGCTATTGAAAGTGTTACCCTTACATATTTGTTAGCTGCCCTATCTACTCGTTTAGGAGGTTGTTAAACATTTGTTTGCACCAAGGAGCATACACTCTTCTGTCAAATATGCCCTCTCCAGCATCAAAAACACTAACTGGCTATTCATTTCATCTGTACGCAAAAATTGTGACCATACCTTAAAGTAAGTCATCGTATAAAGCGGACGTGATAAACTGCTGTATAAATGCAATTTTTTGTAATAACAATCTTTAAAAAATTGGTCCTACAAGATAAATAATCCCAAAGTAAACTGTAATCAAAATAACATCAACTTAGTGATGTTTAGACTATAGGAGAAATGACAAAGATACACAGCATACACAAATGTGACAAAAAACCCAGCTTGGAGTTACTTTAAATAGTTTTATTAGTTTTATATGCAAAAAAGAAAAACCCTGAGATTTTAAAGTTACATTCATATATAAAACTTACAGCTTTCTCTGTATCTGTCAAGGCATAAGCAAAACGCAAGATTTCTTGCATGATTCAACATGTAAACAAGTTATATACAACAAAATGATAATGAAGTAGAACAATTACCTCACAAACTACAGAACGCAACCATAACTCATGTACATATTATATAACAAAACAATCATTTCTTCCTGTTACTTCTATATTAACAATATGTGAATAAAGACAATGGAATTGAAAATCCAACTCAAGAGGTCAGCAGAAGGCTTTATAATGGTTTTGTACTTGGTCAGGGGTTGTGTGTGGCATCTAGGAGATGGAAATTCCTCCAGCCCCAAACCCAGTGAAATATCAAGGAGGTGGGAGAGGGATTCCTAAAGGTTGGAACTTCCACACTGTTAGCCATGTGGATCAGCAATGCTCACTAACCAGAAAACCAGTCCAACAGATGACTGAAGTGCAATCTGAGGAGTGGGGAAGTCCAGGCCATGGCGTAACACTGGATTCTGAAAGAGTTGCCAGATGTTATGACTTTATTCCTCTTTGCAAAAATTTCAACCACTTTACAAAAGGAGCCGTTGAAAACACCACAAAAGGTTTGAATGGAGAAAGTAAGAGAAGACACAACAGCCTCTCAAACTCAGATACCAGTGGGGTTTGGGAGGTTTATTCTTGCCATTTGCATTTTAAAACAAACTCTACCCAAATCCAGAATTTTCAAGGTGGTAAATGCCAGACCTTTAACAGGTATATCTCCATATTCACATCAAGATACAGTTGTGCAGCAATGGAATCCTCCATGCCATCAATGATAATAATTACCATTGAAGTTCATAGGAAATTACACATTTTGAGAAAATAAACTCCCATCTAATATCAATATCATGCATGGACTTGCCAATTTTCTATGCCTATTTTAAAGAAACCTATTAACATACTAAATAGGTAGAGTTAGGAAAACTGGCTACAGTTCGCTGTTATTCACTACATTTTTTTAAAAAAGGAATAAAGTGATTCAATATTACATTAAAGTCAAGGATATTTTTCTTCCCCCACGAAGTCTTTCAGGCCTTATTCGGAGATGCATCAAACAGAACAAAATTCCAGCATGCAAATCACGCCGCCATGCAGATATTCCAAATGATCTGCCAAACAAGACTTGGTACCAGAGAGGCGTCAAGTAACTCCAGGTTTTTAATAATTCTAATTTTTGATAAGCAAGAGAAGTCTTCTAAATTGTGTAATTTTAAATAAAGTAATTTTAATAAAATTTGAGAAGCTTCAATGTCAAAACTATTTTTGTCACATACTACCTATTTTTGTCACATACTACCTATTTATCCAGAAAATGAATGCACCAGCAAAATATATTCAAAGATTAATCTATTGTAGTACTTGTTTAACTTAATTTTTTTTTGGTTAATCATTCCCAAATATTATACCAATAAGGAGAAGCATAATTAAACCATCACACAAGTGGCTAACTGGTCTTCATGAAATCAAAGATATAGCTTTTAAATGCATTCGCACTGTTCCATTCAGTGCTTTTGGTGAAAAGGAGCTGAGCAAGACTTCTACAGCATTACTGATGCAAGAATCTAAGACTGTCAATATCAGCCTGCTTTCAGAAAAACAAAAACAAAGTGAGCTGTCCACATTTCTTGAAACTGACCTCGATGAATGCCTAAAATTATGATGTCAGAGATTATAACCAAATAGCTAGCTTTTGCCATCCAACTGCTATTACTGCAGTTAAAACAAACAGAACAGGAAGCTTGCTATAAAAAGACAGAACACAACAGGACAAAGAATATATTTGAATTCCAAAAAGAATTTAATTAACACCTCATCAACTATGCTTTCTCTTCAATTATAAGTTGACAAGAACCGGAAGGGAGCTGGCTTCTAAATATTAAACAGATTTGGACAGCTAGAACAAATGGTTTTTACAATGGCAATTTTAGCCAGTTGATTAGGTAACTGTGCAACGGTCCCTGAAATATTATTGCACATTTTCTACTTAGAATATTTTGGCATTAAAAGCTGGAATGTTTTAAGAAAATCTACACTAATTTTGAAAATTCTACAAAACATTCAAAGAAGTGACGCAATAGTGAATCAACTGGTTATAATTACCCTTTCAAAATACTACAGAAAACAACAGTCCAAAATGGTCTAACATTTAAAAATCAGCTGCATTAGTGAGTTCCAAAAGACTCACTTCAGCTACTTGACCATTCTCCATCAGCATCCTCGAGCTTAATTAGAACCAAAGCTACTCACCAGCTTTTCAACTGCTGGAGCTGATTGAGGTCTCTTGAATCAAAGCAGGTCAGGAAGTGCTCTACACTTCTTTCAAATTAAATGGGTACAAGTTTCAGCTACTGAAAGAATGTGAGCATTGGTAATGCAGGTTCAGCTTAAGGAAATATGGTAAAGATTATATCCCACAACATAAACCAAGATACAGATTTCCTACACTATCGTAAGGTATCTGAATTCAGTTTAACCCATTTATTCCTCTAAGCCCTTTTTTTTTTTTTAATTTTCCTTTGCTTTTATTTGAGTTTCTTTTCAGAATCTTCGAACCTCAAAAGTTATTCAAAGTTGGAGTTCTTAAAAGGCAAGAGTTAAGCAAAGATGCAAGCAAGTCACCCTTCGCTGAACAGGTCTTATAAAAGTCATTGCAAATTGTTCTCATACCACTTTATCGTAAACATTACAAACGGAACAGGCCACACAGCAATCTCCTGTTCTTATACCGGCTGAAAACATGATTGTTGTCTAGAGTAATCAGGAAAATACTGAAGGACTTTAGCAAATAATAATCATTCTAAAATAGAAGCAACCAACATCAGAAAGAAAGGAGTTTGAGGTTGAAATCCAGTTACCTTGGATTATGACCATATCAGAAATTGTTTTGTAAAGATACACTTAATTTTGAATCTTGGAAGTCTTCACAAAATTCAGCCTAATGACTCAGTCAGATTGGGACGTCAGTTTACGTGCACGGAACAGATGTTTGCTAAAGTCAGCCACATAGGGCTTCATATGGACAATTAATAATTTGTTGCAAACCAGGCATTTACTTTTTTAACACTAAAATAAAGGACAAGGTTGACAATGTAATATTGCTTTTCTTCTTCCAACCACATTAGCTCTATATGAACTTTTCCTTCAGGATCCTTGTAATCAATTGCCTGTCTCTCGCCCAGGTAGTTATATCTTATAGTAGATGTACTAACTGAGTGCAGTGCTACTGGCGAACTTAGACACCAAAATGGTTTTTCTGCTTCATCCAAAATAGTCACATCCATTAAGCAACAGTGCTGAAATTAGAAATAAATGTAGTTTAATACTTCAGTAGTAAATAATGTTAATGTTAATAAAAAGTCCCACAACTTTAATCCAGTAACTAACATCGACAATTTGGTAATAAAACTAAAATACTGTAGATGCTGGAAATCTGTAAATAAAAATCTAAAATAAAGACTGCTGAATGGACCTCTAATTCCAAATCCAATGCTGATCTCACTTTGTGCACCTCCTGTGCAATGTTGTATGTCTCGCTCTGTCTAAGCGCCCTACGATCTATACGTCCTTGTTTGCAGTGATCTGCCTGTACTGCTTGCAAAACAAAACTTCTCACTGTACTTAAGTACATGTGACAACAATAAATCAAATCAAAATTAAAATGCAGGAAAACGCAGTACGGAAATAGCAGACTGTTCAATGACAGCACTACCAGATTAGCTGTCAATCTTAGCTCAGTATTGGTCCTGTCACTGAGTTAGAATGTCATGAAGTTAAGTTTCCATTTAGCAGTGTAGAATCTTGCCTTGCGCATTTCAGTGCAGTATTGCTTTATAACTGCACTGTCAATCATGCAGTCTTTGAAGCCCTTCCTGCTCTCTAAGGTGGATATAAAGGATTCCATGCATTATTCAAAGATAATCAAAGGAATTTCCCCATCAAGTAGCATCACCAAGGTAGATTATCTGGGCACATAATTTGCTGTTGTTACCCTACAATACAACAAATTTTCCAACCAATGAAGTATGTGATAGGACATCCATAAGCAAAGAAGGGAGCTATATAAATCCAAGTTCCTTAGTTTAATTTCAGTTTTTAATGTAAAGCCCATACAAAAATTACTGAATGGCAGTCAATTGTGAGAGCTAGTACTGAATGTGTGCATTTATTGGATAAGAATGTCAATTTTTCTTTAATTCACTCATGGACATTGGCATCACCAGCTAGCCAACATTTACTGCCTGTCCCTAGTTGTCATTGAGAAGGCGGTGGTGAGCTGCCTTCTTGAACCACTGCAATCCATCTGCTATAGGTAGACCCACAATGTCCTTAGGGAGGGAATTTCAGGATTTTGACCAAGCAACAGAACGAATGGTGATATATTTCCAAATTAGGATGGTGAGTGACATAGAGGGGAAGTTGCAGTTGGTGTTCTCACATATTTGCTGCACTTGTACTTCTCAGTAGAAGCGATATGGGTTTGGAAGGTGCTAAGGACCTGTGCTGAATTTCTGCTGTGCATCTTGCAGATAGTACATTCCACTTCTACTGAGTGTCAGTGGTGGAGGGAATAGATGCTTGGATGTGGTGCCAATCAATTAGGCTGCTTTGTCCTGGATACTGTCAAGTTTCGAGTGTTGTTGGAGCTGCACTCATCCAGGCAAGTGGGGACTCCTGATTTAAACCTCGTAGATGGGGACAGGTTTTGGGAGTCAGGAAATGCATTACTCGCCAGAGTACTTCTAGCCTCTGTCCTGATTTTTTAGCCGTTGTATTTATATGGCAAGTCCAGTTGAATTTCTAGTCAATGGCAACCTCCAGGATGTTCATAGTCAGATAATACCATTGAAAGTCAAGGGATAGTGATTAAACAGTCTCTTCTTGGGAGTGGTCTTGGCCTAGCATTTGTGTTGCAAATGTTACTTGTCACTTATCAGCCCAAACCTGGATATTGCCCAGATCTTGTTGCATTTTGACAATAGACTGTATCAGTATCTGAGGAATCACGAATGGTGCTGAACATCATGCTAGAATCGGCGAACATGCCCACTTCTGACCTTATGATGGAGGGAAGGCATTAGCACGAGCCTAATTTAGCTTGTAGTTGGCATTAAAATGAAACTGACAGTTTAAATGCTGTAGTCACTAACCTTTAGCAGGATTTTTTTCCTAAGCATTTCAGTCAAACAGCAGCTTAACTTAGAACCAGCTGAAACAGGTGACTCAGACAGCACTTACATTGGGTATTTATAAAGTTGCCGTCATAGAGGATTGAGTCTCTTTGGAACCCCTTGCCACAGCCAGCTGTGGGGGCAGAATCTATGTGCATACTTAAAGCTGAGACAGATAGATTCGTGATCAGAGGGGAATCAAGGGATATGGGAAATGGGTAAGAAATTGAAGATGAGAGAAATGTCAGATCAGTCACGAGCCTATTGAATGGCAGAGCAGGCTTGATGGGCTGAACGGCCTACTCCAGTTTCTACTTTTTATGGTCAAGTGCCTCCTGGCACAGCCCTGTCTCCTTGTGAGGAAGGATCATCTGGACCAGGCTCTCCATCCATTTGTCGCTATGCTTTCGATCCGGAGGACCAATGGCTGGGGCAATAGAGTCCACCTCTTCAGCAGACCTGAGGATACTGGACTTATTTCTCCATGACAACCGCCAACCCATCCATGGAGACAGCCAGACAAGTGCATCAGTCGCTGCACTGCTACAGCTCCTGGGCAATGCTTCCCATATACCCGTCTGCCACTCCTGTTCTTTCGTGTACATTCTGATGAAGTCCCTGTTTAATGACAACACAGGGCCCTCTCCTGCCTGGGACTGAGCAGGTACCTGGCCTCCTCCTGTCTGGGACTGAGCAGGTACCTGGTATCTGGCAGTCCAGGACACATCTTCCTTGGCTAGCTGCAGAGCTGTTACAGTTAGGTGCTCACCAGATTGTGCCCAGAACTTTCTAATACTAATGTTCCCACCAAGGTGTCAGTATCTGTGCTGCTGGTGGGTGCAGAGGCAATTTTGACAATACTTCCTGGGAGGGATCCATATTCTCATCCTTAGAGATCAAAGTTTTTGGCAGAGCCAGTGGGCATGCCAATGGTATCTATAAGCCAAGAGAGAGAGAGAGAAGTGGTCATGGCCAGTGGTTAGACGATATATATAAAAAGGGACTGATTAATCCGAGAGTTACAGTGGAATGAAGAGTGGTACTTACTCTATTGGCAGAATATGGATGGCAGGAATGGTGCCAGTCTTCTCCTGTGAAAGCCAGGATTCTCTCCTCATTTGGGTCCTTTCTGCTCCATTGTGGGCTGTCTTCCCATGGAACGAAAGGGTGACACAGTCAGTACTAGTGCAGGTGATTGCGATGTGGTGAGATGTCCCAGGGAAGGAAGAGGGCAGCAAAGAGTCCATGGTTAGAAGTATGAGCGGCTGGGTGAAACAAGAGCAAGTGAGGGAAGAGCACAAGCCATGGTGGGAGATGGGTGCAGTAGCAAAGGTAAAGTGGGTGTGAGATAGCAGAGAGGAATATGGCACTTAGCTGCAGAGCAGTAAATTGTGACACTATCTCACCCTCATTGGCTTGTTCAGATTTCACCCTTGACTAAGCAGGACATCTTTGGAATGCCAGACCTCATACAGGTGCACAGCAATCTCTAAAATATGGCATGGTGGTCTTTTGGCAGATATCCAGAGTGGCGAGTTGTTCAAGGAACAGCACACAATAAGATGGGGATAGAATCAGACATAAGGGATTCCATTGGGACAGGGTAGGTCGTTGTGCAATGTGCAGTAAGAATCCCTCCAAAAATGTGACAACTTACACTTAGCCAAAAGCCACAGTTGCCCAGAATTGTGATAAGGGGAGCATTTTCAGTATGGCACCCCTTGTAATTTGTGGCATGCTGCACAAATCAGCACTGAAGCCACAATTACTTACAAAGTATGTCATTATTAAGTAATTAATATAAGTAAATATACAATCACCAAGGTGCAGATAACACAAATAGGCAGGAATTCATGTGGCAAGGATGAGTGTACGCAGATGGATACAGACAAGTTAAATGGGTGGGAAAAAACTTGGCAGATGAAATATAACGTGCGAGAATGGGTGATTACGCACTTTGGCAGGAGGAATATAGGAACTGAATTAAACAGAAATACTGAAGAAAGCCAGAGCACAGAAGCAGTTAGGGGTCGTTTATGAATCAGAGTACCTTAGCAACCAAGTTCAGCAAGTAATAGGGAATAGAAATGGAACAATGCCCTTTACTTCAAAAGGAATGAAGCTTAAAAATAGGGAGGTCTTACCAAAACAATACAAGGACTAGCCAGACCACAACTGGAATATTAGTTTTGGTCCCCTTTACCAAAGGAAAGTTGTATTGTAGAGGCTGGGGTGTTAAGAATATTCCAGGCTGATAGGTAGACACATTTCATTATCAGTAAGGGAATCAAGGGTTACAGTGAAAAGGCAGGAAAGTGGCCTTGAGGTTTTTCTGATGAGCTACAATCTCATTGATTAGTGGAGCACAAGCTCTTGTGGTGCAGTGGTAGTATCCCTACCTTTGAGCTAGTAGATGGAGTTCAAGTCTCACATATTGCAAAAGGTACGTAGTAACATTTTTGAACAGGGTGATTAGAAGTATCTTAGGCAAATAGCCTACTTCCGACCCCATGTCTGATGTACTAATGGAGCACAAGCGACAATGCATCACTTGAAAAAGTGTGGAGGATATTTCTGTCTCAAATTGTTATGGATAACTAGGGTAGAGTACTGGAAATCAAGCCACGTCATTCCCAGAGCCATCACAAAAGTTCAAGATTTTAAAATGGATGCAGAACTTCCCAACACACAGCAGTTTCTATACTTAGTCTACACAGTGTGGAGCTGGAGGAACACAGCAGGTCAGGCAGCATCAGAGGAGCAGGAAAGTCGACATTTTGGGTCGGGACTCTTCTTCAGAACTGGGGAGGGGAAAGGGAGCTGGGAAATAAATAGAGGGAGGAGGAGTGGGGCTGAGGAATGGTGGATGGGGTGGTGATAGGTAGATACAGGTAGGTGGTGGTGGGCATTGGTCAGTGGGAAGGGTGGGGTGGTTAGCTGGGGAAGAAGATGGGCAGGTTGCGTCAGGTCAAGGAGGCAAGAATGAGAGGGAGGTTTGAACTTGAGATGAGACCGAGGGTTGGGAGATTTTAAAACTGGTGAACTCTATGTTCAGGCCATCGGGCTGTAGGCTCCCAAGGTGGAATATGAAGTGTTGCTCCTCCAGTTTGCATGTGGTGTCATTGTGGCACTGGAGGGGGGCCAGGATGGACATGTCAAGGGAGTTGGGGGTGGGAAATTAAAAAAAAAAGAGCTAAAATGGTTAGTGACTGGAAGGTGTCATCAATTATCGCGTACAGAGAGCAGATGCTCCACAAAACTGTCCCGAGTCTGCACTTGGTCTCACTGATGTAGAAGAGACCGCATCAGGAGCAACAGATACAGTAGGCCAGGTTGGAGGATGTATAGGTGAACCCCTGTCGGATTCAGAAAGTTTGCTTTGGGCCTTGGATGGAGGTGAAATTGCAGGGAAAGGTGCTGGGGGTGGTGGGGTTATTGGGGAGTATGGAGTGGACAAGGGAGTCACTGAGTAAACAGTCCTTATGAAAGGCAGATAGGGGTGGGGAGGGAAATATCTCTTTGGTCGTGGGGTCAGATTGTAGGTGGCGGAGGATGGTGGGGTGGAATGTGATGACCAAGGGACTCTGTCTTTATTTTTGTTGTGGGGAGGGGGTTTGAAGGCAGAAGTGCAGGAAATGCAAGAGATGCAGTTCAGGTCATTTTTGATCACGGGGGTGGGATTATAGTCCTTGAAATAGGAGGACATCTGGGATGTCCAGGAGTGAAACGTTCCATCTTGGAAGCAGATGCAGCAGAGGCGGAGGAATCGGGAGTATGGGATCACATTCCTGCAGGAGGATGGATGAGAGGTGGTGTAATCCAGGTAGCTATGGGAGCCGGTGGGTTTGAAATCAGTGTCAGTATTGAGGCAGTTACCACAGATGGAGACAGAGAGGTCCAGTAAGGGGAGGGAGGTATCAGAGATGGTCCAGGTGAATTTGAAGTTGGGTATGAGGACCGGGGGACCCTGCCACCGACAATCCGACCCACCCCACCAACCATCCTCTGCCACTTCCGCCACCTACAATCTGGCCACACGACCAAAGAGATATTTCCCTCCCCACCCCTATCTGCCTTTCATACAAACCATTCACTTCATGACTCCCTTGTCCTCTCCTCACTCCCCACTAACCCCCCCACACCTGGCACCTTTCCCTGAAACTGCAGGAAGTATCTAAGGCCAAAGCAAACTTTCCATATCCGACAGGGGTTCACCTGTACATTCTCCAACCTGGTCCTACTGTATCCATTGCTGCCGATGTGGACTCCTCTACATCGGTGACCATTTCATGGAGCATCTGAGGTCTGTACGCAATAATTGACAACACCTTCTGGTCGCTAACCATTTTAACACCCCCTCCCACTACCTTGACATGTCCTTCCTGGGTCTCCTCCAGCGGCACAATGATGCCACACACAAACTGGAGGAGCAACACCTCATTTTCTGCCTCAGGAGCCTACAGCCCAATGGCCTGAACATAGAATTCACCAGTTTTAAAATCTCCCCACCCTCTGCCTCATCCCACATCCAAACCTCCCTCTCATTCCCACATCCTTGATCTGACACAACCTGTCCAACTTCTTCCCTACCTATCCGCCCCATTCTTTCCACCACCCAATCCCCAGTAACTCCTATCTGCATCCACCTATCACCATTCCACCTACGTTCCCCAATCCCAATCCTCCTCCATTTATTTCCCAGCTCCCTTGCCCCTCCCCAGTTCTGAAGAAGGGTCTGACCCGAAACATCGATGTTGCCTGACCCGCTGTGTTCCTCCAGCTCCATAATGTGTTAGACTCTGGCTCCAGCATCTGCAGTTCTTGCTCTCTCCGATGTTTCTATACTTAAATGTATTTGTAATAAATAATCATTTTTGTTATTACACAAACAATTATGAACCATTGAAACATAACTCTACTAGCTAAAACTTTAGAGATAGTAGGAACTGCATATGCTGGAGAATCTGAGATAACAAGGTGTACAGCTGGATGAACACAGCAGGCCAAGCAGCATCAGAGGAGCAGGAAGGCTGACATTTCGGGCCAAGACCCTTCTTCAGAAATGGGGGAGGGAAAGGGGGTTCTGAAATAAATAGGGAGAGAGGGGGAGGCGGATAGAAGATGGATAGAGGAGAAGATAGATGGAGAGGAGACAGACCGGTCAAAGAGGCGGGGATGGAGCCAGTAAAGGTGAGTGTAGGTGGGGACGTAGGGAGGAGATAGGTCAGTCCAGGGAGGACAAACAGGTCAAGGGGGTGGGATGAGGTTAGTAGGTAGGAGATGGGGGTGGGGCTTGAGGTGGGAGGAGGGGATAGGTGGGAGGAAGGACAGGTTAGGGAGGCGGGGACGAGCTGGGCTGGTTTTGGAATGCGGTAGGGGGAGGGGAGATTTTGAAGCTTGTGAAGTCCACATTG